CCTGCTTCAAATAACACTGTAGCGCCAAATCCTACGCCTGCTCCAAATAACACTGTAGCGCCAAATCCTACGCCTGCTCCAGTCCCAGACCCCAATACTACAGTGAAATGCCCTGCACCACGGTCAATAACCCCACAGTACGGTTACGGTTTAAAAGTAACGCCAAACAAAACCATCCTACTTGACAGCCCTGGATCTACATTCTCATTTTTCTGCTACAGAGATTTCCATCTTGACCCTAATGATCCTTACAGGGTATGCCAAGAAAACGGTACCTGGAGTGGAGTCCAACATAAGTGTGCACCAGACTCCTCAGCAAGCTGTCCAGATCCAGTTCTACCGGAACACTCCCTCCCAAAAAACCCAATGTTGGAGTTCCCGATATTCTCAATTCTGCACATGGACTGTGAGGAGGGGTGGGTGGGGCGAGGGAACTCTACCGTTCAGTGCGACTATAAGAAGAAGTGGCTGATAGACTTTCAGTGCAAACAAGAGTGTGATTTTAATGGATTACCCGAACATTCTCTATTCAGTCCAGACCAAAAGTACTCTAATATAGCAGTAAATGAGACAGTTCCAGTGATTTGTGAGCCTGGTTACCGTCTGTTAGGGGTGCCTGAAATACACTGCAACTCATCCGGCAATACTAAAGTACAATTTGGGTGCTGTCCAGACCAGCAGACTTTAGAAGCTATGAGAAGTGTTTATAATAGAAATCCAGAGTATGTCTACGGCCCCATTCTTATGCTGATGGCCATATTGAACTTAATTCTTGTGATAAAACTGGTACATCAGAAGAAGAAAGAGAACAAGATCCTTTCAACAGATATGATAAAGGTTAAAACAGCCAAAGGCTCTAAGGAGGTTCGGTTGGACGTGCAAATGAGGACTGTTAGAAATCCTATAGCTCATGAATATTCTCCCTACAGAAAATTTTCTAGAGAGGATACATTTTGATATTTTAGTGACCGATAAGGGCTTTTCTAGATTAAATCAGCTAATATTGACACCAAAAGGGTACATACCATGCATGAGAACAAGCTAGGTTAAACTGATTGTGAGTTGTTAAAAGTGCAAAGGGTAATAAGATAAGAAGATAGCTGTAGTTAGAAGTTGTGGAATATCTGTGTTGCAGAAATAAGTAAGTTTACAGTAATTGTGGAATTCTATTTTCGCCCTAAAGAACCGTTCGAATTAAATTTTACAAGTTTTAACTTATCAAATAATTCTGTAACAAATTATATTGCAAAAGAACATCATTGTAATGTACGCTGGAGAATATGAATGTGATGAATTTGAAAAGATACCCTATTCTTTGTGGGAGACTGAAGAGTCAAATGCGTGTAATTTATTATTTTCATGTGCTGGTAAGCCTACATGGTAAATTGTGAATTAGAGTTAGGGTTAGTTTTTTATTATTTTTATAGGAATCAAGTAATAATGTGCTGTTTCATATTATTAATGTTTTTCAAGAAAAAATTATTTTTATTTCAAAACTTCCCAGATCCAGCCACTTTTAAGTTAAAAACCATTTTCAATCGGTACTGGTTACCTTTAAAGCTTTAGTTCGTCTACAATCTCTATTACGTCACTCGTCAAATCGTCAGTGCATATTTTGAGAATTATCGAGATTCTGTCTAAAAATCTGATATCCTGAATTGCCTTCGTTACGCCACTATGCGACAGCCACCATGAAGCCAGACATAACAATGTTAGTTAGGGCGTGATGGAGACATGGTCACAACAGTCACAAGGCTGCACTTCAACTCAACTTCTAATCAAAAATGTGGCAGTAGGAGTTCCACCTACCGTCCTTATCGGCCCAACTGTATCCCATGCAGGCCCAGTGTTTATATGACACAATCTTATCTTTATATTGGGTGACGTGTACCATATGAATATGTTGTAATCTGCCATGAGGCTCCTAAAAAGCCGGTATTACATCAAGATTGTTAATTGTTAACAGCAATAAACACTTAAAAATAAAGCCGCCCGTAAGAAGCTCTACTTCCTGAAAGCACACTTCAACTTTTCTTTTTCTCGTCATAATCGATAACAACAGCAAGCTGTCGACGGGAATTCAATAATATCGGGTCTAAGATGAGTTCTGAAACATGCATGATGCACGTGTTGAATCTTGAATGTGACATTATGTAATACCGATCAGTTATAGCAAAGTTTGTGTGTCTGGTACCAGTCACTCACCAGTTATATAATAAAAATTTCTCACCCACGATGTTATCTCAATCCTTTTTTGGTTAACAATTGAAATTGGAGGAATGGATGAAGACCGATTTTAGTATCACTAATTGTGGTGACCGTGAGAATTCTCTACTTCATAATACTGCCGGAAATAAATGATATTAATGGTTTCATCACGAAAAATAACAACTAGACAATATCGATAACGTGATTTTATTAATAAAACAAATATTAATTTTAAAAAAATATTTATTTTTACGGCACAATCAAACAATATCAATAACAAATAAATCAGGGGAGGTTTGAAGAGGTTTCAAGTGCCGAAGGCCACTGCTTATCTTTAGGATTTGAGAGTGACCTGTGCTTGAAACCCCCTCAACCATCCACTACGTCAATATACTTAGTTATTATACAAATATAGGAAAATATGATTATCTAAAATTGCTTATTGGTCTAGTTTGATGACATAGGAGAGCCCAGTTGAGTTTTAGTTTAGGTTTAGGTTTTAAATCATAGTTTAAAAGGTTAGCCATGTTTCATGGCAGAGAGAGATATCATGTGTGCAGAGCCGTACCGGATGTAGAATTTGAGATATAATATAGTTACCATGTATTAGGGTCATCTCGATTTTGGAGGGATAGCAAGTGCTTTTTAAGGTTAGATTTAATAATACCTGACGAGGCTGATAAGTCTGAATTTTTGGAAGAACCCGGGATTATTATCCCATCTTCATTAGCATCACATATTTCGAATACATAGGGGATGAGGTCATTCCAAATTTTGATCGTAGAGGTGTACAAAAAGTTCTGTCGGGAGATATCTAACCTCAGTAATGCAAATGGGACAATCAGACGAAGTTTTTCATTTCTAGGACAGAGCTTGAAAAGATCTTTAATCGACTGGGGGACATCAAATTTAAGAATTTTGAATAGTTCCATAAATGTATGGTACATGTGCAGATTCTCCAGGTTCATAATTTTCTGCTCAGTGAATAGCGGTTCAGTGTGTTCAAGACAGTAGTTCTTGCTAGCCATATGTTCGTTATAAGTTCTTGAACGTGCATGATTTCTAATGATTTCTTTGGCACGACTTTGGGGCCGGGTTCCAAAGGTCATAAAAACAAATATGGGGTAACGTAATATGACCCCAGTTGAGATATGGAAGAAAACTGAAATTTTTGGAGACAACCATTTCTTTGTCTATCATTTTTATCGCTATCAGTTCTCAGTATTATATGCAAAAATGAAGGACAAAATCTCAACCGTGACTAATTTGATATAGTCGTAAGAGCAAAGATAAGGTCAGTAGCGAGTTGGCAGGAAAAAATGTAGACACAATTTCTTCATTCTTTCATCTGAAAAATATAAAACTGTCAGAAGCAAAACAACATATTGCGTATCAAAAAGTATATCGTCCAAAATTTCGAAGCTGTGGGTGATGGGTCTAAACTATCATGTTCTACAGTTTCAACACTGCTTTTTTCAAACTTTTTTGATCATTAGCTCTCGAAGCTGACCCGGATGTGTTATTAAATCTTGTTTTCCAGTTTTGTATTCGTTATACTGTATATTATCAGTTGCCAGCTTATCACAATATCTGCTCGATCAGTGGTATTTACTATTTATAAGTAAACCTGCGGCTTGTTTGAAACAAGTTGTTGCTTGCGGCACTGTAAACTGTGTATTAAATGTAAAAATAGTTTCTGATAGAAAACTTGAATTATGATATTGTGATTAGATGGAGACTTTGGATGAAGCAATCAGGGGTCGTTCACATATTACGTAATACATTTTTTGGCAATTTCCCCCCCCCCCCCCCCTTCGTAATCAGTTTAACACATAGCTATTGTGTCAACATTATACTAGCGTAATCATTTGGAAACCCCCCCCCCCCCCCCCACTCTGCTGATTACGTAATATGTGAATGACCCCCCATCAATGCCTCGGTTTTTACATTTTAGGGATATACTGTAGTTATATTTGATATCCAAGGACCTGGTTTCGAAGTTACTATTAGGAGATATTAGCCTTGTTAAGTGTAAAGCGTCAAAATGAACACGGTTCACCAATAAAAACAAATGTGCTCTGATCAAGAATTAAACTTCTCGTCTCAAATATACCTGTGGGAGCCCGAAATGTGAGGTTCTTAGTTGTCGGTCACCAGCTTCATCCAATGACCAAAATCGTGGTTTTCACTTTTCATCATGCTCGAAGCAGATACAATTTGCAACAATGACGCAAGGCTATAATTATTTTAATTTGATTTGATACGGAAAATCAAATCCTTTGAAGCTGATTATTGTTTTTGAAATCGTTGACAATATTTGAAATTATATTTCTAATTCTACCGTTTTCTGTTCATAAATTAGTTTGAAATTTGCTTCACACTATAATTATAAAGATACAACATTGAACATTTTTGTCCCATTTTGGGATTTTTTTTTTTCAAGAGAACATTTATCCGGATATTTATAATTTCGTTTGTTTTGAATTGATAAATTCATTATTGAACCGTTAATTTTTCTTCAGTCTCCTAAATACTGATCACTAAAATCTTGGCACAAATTCAAATTCATTGAAATTGAGTACACTGATAAATTTACTAAAATATAACAAAGAAATCACGCATGTATGAGTGTTTTTATACACAAATAATGATTAAATAAGTACAGAAACCGCTCGAATTAATGTTGAACGCACCTTTGTCCTTTATAAATATGTATCATCTGCCAAATAAATCAGAAAGAGATTAGAATAGTCTATCAAGAACGCAGTTCATTAAGTGTTGTATATTTGAATTCACTTCAAGACCTTGATGTAAACATCGTATTTTTCATGACTTTTTTGTTTGTCGATGTTACTCAGGACCTCACATTTCGATTTCTCCCTTTTCTTTCTTTTGCATGACAAACCGACGCACTCCTCTCCAAAGTTTTCGCATGCCTGCTTTGCTTTTTTCAGGGACAAGTTCGATTCCAGGACGTAGTTTGCATTATTCCCTATTTTTCTCCCTTCGATTATCTGCCACGTGATTCTTTCTGTTTCGCCTCCATCCTCTCCATCACCCTCTCCATCACCCTCTCCATCACTCTCTCCATCTTCCTCCTCGTCATTATCTCCATCACCCTCTCCACCACTCTCTCCATCACCCTCCTCCTGATCCTCTCCATCACCCTCTCCATCTTCCTCCTCGTGATCCCCCTCATTATCTTCTCTATCTCCATCTTCAGAACACAACTCACATGTTTTCCTACACACACTACGCATTAACCGTATCCAAGTTGGACAGTCGCTAGTGCAGGTTCTACTGTAACCAATGCAGAAATCCTGAGTCCAGTGGTCAGTGCAATCAGGGGTGGGATTCTCTTCCAAACACTTACGAGTAGCTCCCCAAAAAAAAGCATTCCTCATTGAAACGTTGAAATGTCCACCGTTGGCGAGTTGGCAATATCTAGGCTCTCTGTCAAAGTGAGTAGTGTGTACTCCCACACATTCATCATCAGCAAAACACATGTCCCGGCAATCGTTCATGGAGGTGAAGGGAACAGAGTCGTAAACGTTTTGGGTATCGTATCCGCCGTGTTTCTTCCAGCACAAAACATTCTCACTATTCCTGAGGGCCGATACTTTAGGATGATGAACAACACAAATTTTGCAGGTTTTGGCACAGTTTTTCTCCGTCCAGTGAGAGAACTTCTCATCCTCATTTCCCCAATGATAATCCTCATCTCTGCATTTGTGTTTACATTTGTCACATTTGTCAGAAAGGTCCTGGCACTTCTCCAGCAGTCCTATAACCTCTAGCCCTGTTGAAACTGGTTCAAGTTCGTTGGGTATAGCAGGGCACTTCTCTTCCATGCCTGGTATGCTGCGTGTGCCGTGTGTGTCGTGATCGTCGTGATCGTCGTGATCGTGTGTGTCGTGATCGTCGTGTGTGTCGAGTGTGTAGTATTCGTCGTCTTCGTCATCTTCGTCGTCGTGATCGTCGTGATCGTCGTGATCGTGTGTGTCGTGATCGTAGTGATCGTCGTCGTTATGATGCTTTTCCCTGTGTACTTTTCCGGGAATGTTATGATGTTCGTGTTTGTGATCAGTCTCTTCCCGGTCTGGTATGTGTTTGTCGGGTGTGCGGTGATGAGCAGCCATTACAGTAGATAGAACCACGAGGAAGATAACGGACTTCATCTCCGGATTCATAGAGCAGAGCTACAAGGACTAGAAGGGAATTAATATAACTGGTAACAAATGGTTAGAACATGTTTATTTTAATCCGGTAAAACATTTCCTGACTTGATGCATCAAATTGGGTTTACGGAAAGTTATATAAACAAAATCACAGTTGCTTGTTTTGGAATCTCTTCTGTGAAGTTAACGAAGATAAAAGTAAAATTTGCAATATGCATAGAACTGAGCTAAGGACAGAACTTGGAACTAGAAATGAAAAATACGAAAGTTAAGGCGACAATATTTGGAACTGTTAAGTATCACATTTGGGCTTCAGCCCGATAGCTTTTATATTGTGCGATCTGAAGACAAACTGAAGATGAACTTAAGATAAAGAGAAGTTTAATTTTTTTGAGAATTACCCTGAAACAAACTGAAGATATTATCTTCAGTTTATCTTAGATAAACCTAATTGAATTTGATTGCAATCTTGTGGTCTCACTTTGATACTTTTTTTATTTCAAAATTCAAATAAACTTTACATCAATGTATTACAGTTATATTCAATAAAAAGACCACAATATCTCCTGTGAAGCAAAAAAATGGAAAAAGAGAGCTAGAAAAATATTCATGATACTCAACACTACCAGACTCAGCTGGAGTGAGAAACAAACTGTAAAAACATCAAGGTAAAATTTATTTCGGCTGAACCAAAACACGGTGGTAAGACCATAATAACATTGGTGCCGACCCTACATAAAATCATTAATAAATAATCAAGAGAAAAAATTTAAATGTATACGATACCTTCTTGCTACTACTCCACAAACTTACACGACATAACAACAAAATAACATAATTAAATAATATTATAATAAAACAATCTACAATCTAGCCACTCACGTACTGCGTGACGCGCTTGTTTCGGGTTGTTTCATAAAAGAAAAAACGGCGCGTTCTACTGCAGGTGCGAGGGGCAAATTATAGAGAGTATGACATTCATAAAGTAAAATATATATATAATAATATTCCATGATGGGCCATCTAATCAGGCCAGCATACGTCAGAAGACCAGAGAAATTCAGTTAGCTTTGTTTTGAAAATAGAAATTTTCTCAGTCTGTCTAACATAGGCTGGCAGTGCAGTCCACAGAAGCATTGTTCTATAAAAGAAGCTGTTTCTGAAACTATCGCAGTTTGGTACAATAGAGCAGGTATATGTGCTGGTGTCAAGTCCTTCAATGACTGATGCCGTGCTCCTTGTGTACCTCATTGTTCCAGCTTCAACAACAGTAATATATTCAGGTAGAGATATACTTACCAAATCATTTACTATTTTATAGAAGAGCGTAATTGAATTATGGATGAACTTAGATCTAATGGGTAGAATTTTAAGCTCCTTCTGCTTCTCATAGAATTCAATATCACTATAATGATCAAACTGTTGTCCATTGATCCATTTGATCGCTCTTTTCTGGATTGCCTCAAACTTCGACATGTGTGTCGATCGCTGAGGACACCATATAACTGAGCAATGTTCAAAGATTGATCTTACAATGGTAAGGTAGAAAGCCCTCTTTTGGCGTTTATCCATGGTAAAATGACAGGTTCTCTTTAAGAGCCCAAGCTTTGAGCTTGCTTTAGATATCAATTGATCACAATGTGCACCCCACAGAAATCTGTTGTTCATTATTACACCAAGATCTGTATGGGATGCCACATAATCAATTATGACTTCATTAAGATTATACCAATAAATATTAAAAGGAAGATTGTCTAATACATTTCTTTGCAGAGTTACAGATAACACCTTACACTTTGAAGGGTGAAAAGTCATTTTGTTATCGATTGACCAGGCAAACAACCTGTCTATATCTCCTTGGAGAATATAGTGGTCTTCAAAGCATTCGATGACCCTCCAAATTTTGGTGTCATCTGCATACAATGCTACATTTGTATCCTCCGAGACACACGAGAACATGTCGTTGATGAATAGAACAAACAGAAGTGGTCCCAGAATAGATCCCTGGGGCACTCCTGATTGCACGGGAAGCATGCTTGAGACAGCTCCACCTACAACAACCTGCTGTCGTCTGTCTTGTAAATACGACTTTAAAAATCTAAGCATCAGACCATCAATACCATATAAATTTTTTAGCTTGCGAAGGATTAAGTCATGTGATACACTGTCAAATGCCTTAGCAAAATCAAAATAAACAATGTCGGATCTTGACTTATTGTTCAGGGCCAGTGCAAGGTTGTCTGTGAATGGGACCATCTGGGTAGTGCAAGACTTCCCATTCACAAAACCGTGTTGTCTACAGTCGATTAACCCTTCACAAGCTGCGAGCAACTCTTTCGAAATACAACGTTCAAAAACTTTCATAACTAAGCATGTCAGTGAGATGGGTCTGTAATTTTCAACAGATCCTTTTTCACCCTTCTTGTGTACCGGAACAACAGAAGCAAGCTTCCATTCCTCCGGCACACATCCAGTCACAAAAGAGGTGTTGAAAATCATGGTTAGAGGCTTTGCAAGAGTGCTCGCACAATTTTTTAACACAGTGCCATGGATACCATCTGGACCTGCGGCTTTACCCGGTTTAATCCCTTTTAAAATTAACAAAACATCCAACACGTGAAATCACGAGAGACTGGTCTGTCGCAGGCACAGAGAATTCTGGGGGAGGAGGGGTACCTTTCCTGTGTGAGAGGTTGTTGTCGTTCCTTATAAAGTACAGTTCTCTTGCTGATAGGTCCGCTGGCAGAATTAGAAATATCATAAACTGGGTTGTGCGTTTGTTGATTTCTATCTACTGCATTCGGCGAAGTATTAAAAATAAAGATTCCAAGAAGTTCCAAGAAATACCGAGAAAAATGTTTTCAGTGAAACAGACATGAAGTTGCGAAGTAATTAAGTTATTTAACCCAAAAAAATGGTATTCGGTACCTTATTCTGTTATAAAATCCACCGTGTGGTGTCATCATATAAATTGAAAATTTTATTTAAGCACGCCCAAACGGCCAGAGTCTATCAAACATTCCACAAAAAGTAACTTTCCTACGATAAAGTACCTCAAATAACTGGTACAAAAGTTAGGGTGATAAGAACTAAAGATGTAATCTACTTGGAATCTCATGTTATGATCAATGCTGTTTTCTTTTCTCGATTGAATAAACAAGCTAACCATTTCCTGGCATGGTGTCCCAAATTGGGTTTGCAGAAAATTATACAAACAAAATCTCTGCCAATTTGCTTCCGAATCTCCTCTGTCGAGTTAACGAGGATAATTAAATGGTTAAATAAGGAAATTTTGGACATGTTTGCTCAGCGATGTTGACGCAGTGGTCGTGGTCTGAGTTTGACATTTGCTAACGACATAGTTTTAGGTATGTAGATTGTAGGTACCTTGTTGACTGTGTGGAATGTGGATAATGTATCTAATGAGACGATGTCGTCACTCCAAAGCGAGGCCTACCCAACTTTAATCTGCCAGCTCTGTTCCCTCCAAACCTCGGCCCTATTCTCTGAAATCTGGCTGGTTATTGCTTTGTGGAAATTAGAGTCTTTCGGTGATGTTTTGAAAATTTCAATAACGTAAATTTCTTGGAGAAACTAATAGAGGCATCGATTAAACCCTGAGACCCAGTCATTTTCCTTCCTGCTTCTGATGAACTTAATAAATCTAAATTGGTTAATTTTAAACAGGACGGAGCAGCTTGGTTGAAATACTGCCTCAGTTTTACGGAATTTCCTCTAGTCAAGTACATGCACTGTCAGAGAAACCTTTTGCAAATGCAAAGACCTGGCTTTAAACTTACTTTTTGAAAGCAAGTCGCATTGACTCTATTTTAGTCGGTCCAAGCAAGCACGTCGTGTTTCGATCACAGTGCAAGGTATACTAGATTCTGCCGTGTGACGGGGATTAACAAAACTGGAGGTCCCGCTGCCGTGGATTTGATCTAGCTGATGATCCTGGTCGACTCCATTTATTTGTTTCTAATTTTACCAATTTTCAGGAAAATATGTCACCAAGCCAGGCCTTCAGTTGTAATTTTAATCCAGCAGGAATATTGTACAGTAAATAACACTTATTCCCATTGAAGAAATTAATAAATCGTTTATACATTCGTAACAAAAATATAGTTAAATTCTAAAAAAATACCAGTCCTTTTTTATTGCATCCATGCACATTCAAAACCAAATATAGTACTTGATGGCATGATTGAAATAAATTGAATTCAAATTAAATTTAAGTATAAATCATCAAATATTATCAAATAAAGGATTTTCATTAAATATTCATCCGGAAATTAAATATGTTTCATTCCAATAATATGTATTACTGTTCGGAACATGTGCCAGCACAGTCCGGTGTGATTCTCTCTCCAGCTTCCATCTCACTAGGACTATATGAGAAAGTATTCTCACAGGTCATGTCGTAGAAAGCGAACCTCTTAGCTTGGGCGTATCTTTCTTTGCACTCTCCGATTAGAGCATGCTCGTAGAGGTGCTCACCGTTGATCGTTATTCGAACTATTCCGTCTTTAATGGAGAAGGACCAGGTAGTTTGTCCTTCGTCAGCTTTAGCACGTCTTAAATGAACAGGAGTCATACATGTGATGCAGCCAGTCAACCAGATGCCCCTTAGGTTCCACTGGAATTTCCCGATTTCGTTTGCGTCCTCGTCGTAAAGCACGATTGAGTTCTCTCTCTTTCTCCTTAGCTTGGAAGTAACTTGGACACCTTTGTCGGATGTAACCAGATCTTGCTTCACAGTACACTCCATGTTGGTGCAATATCCACATTCGGGAGTCCAGCAGTCACAAGTGGGGTATTCTATATCGTAATCAGAATCATCGGAATCAGGAGTGACTGTGGTAGTAGAGGCTTCTGTTGTGGGTTGCTTGGTTGTGGGTTTTGCTGTAGTTATTTTCCTGGTAGTAGGTTTTACTGGTGGTGGGGTAGTTCCCTTGTTATTGTCCATAGGTAATCCACGGATGTAGTAGCCCTCCATGTGCCTGAAAGTAATC